AAAGACCCCCCCCCCAACTTACCGCCTTAAAGACCCCCCCCAACTTACCGCCTTAAAGACCCCCCCCCCCCCACCAACTTACCGCCTTAAAGACCCCCCCCCCCCCACCAACTTACCGCCTTAAAGACCCCCCCCCCCCCAACTTACCGCCTTAAAGACCCCCCCCCCACCAACTTACCGCCTTAAAGACCCCCCCCCCCCACCAACTTACCGCCTTAAAGACCCCCCCCCCAACTTACCGCCTTAAAGACCCCCCCCAACTTACCGCCTTAAAGACCCCCCCCCCACCAACTTACCGCCTTAAAGACCCCCCCCCCCCACCAACTTACCGCCTTAAAGACCCCCCCCCCACCAACTTACCGCCTTAAAGACCCCCCCCCCCAACTTACCGCCTTAAAGACCCCCCCCCCCACCAACTTACCGCCTTAAAGACCCCCCCCCCCACCAACTTACCGCCTTAAAGACCCCCCCCCCCAACTTACCGCCTTAAAGACCCCCCCCCCACCAACTTACCGCCTTAAAGACCCCCCCCCCACCAACTTACCGCCTTAAAGACCCCCCCCCCCCAACTTACCGCCTTAAAGACCCCCCCCCCACCAACTTACCGCCTTAAAGACCCCCCCCCCCCACCAACTTACCGCCTTAAAGACCCCCCCCCCCCCCAACTTACCGCCTTAAAGACCCTCTTCCAGAAGGTGCAGCCAGCTTTAGGCACGAAGCAGTAGATGACCCCGGCCTTGTGGGTGTACACCCCGTGCACCCTGCCCGGCACGTCACGTGACTCGCACACCTTCCGCGCCCGGCGTTTCCTGCTGGCCAGCTCGCCCCATGACGTCATCAGTGGCTCCCCGGCCTGCTGGAGTTCTCGCCCGGCGCCCCGCGGCCCGGCGCCCCGCGGCTCCCCACTGAAAACATGGCCGACGTCTGGACCTACAGCAACAAGATAAGGGGGGGGGGGGGCGTGACTTAATGACAGCAGTTTGAGGGGGCGTGACTTAAAGACAGCAGTTTGAGGGGCGTGACTTAATGACAGCAGTTTGAGGGGCGTGACTTAAAGACAGTAGTTTGAGGGGGGGGCGTGACTTAAAGACAGCAGTTTGAGGGGGGCGTGACTTAATGACAGCAGTTTGAGGAGGGGGGCGTGACTTAAAGACAGTAGTTTGAGGGGGGGGGGCGTGACTTAAAGACAGCAGTTTGGGGGGGGCGTGACTTAAAGACAGCAGTTTGGGGGGGGGGGGGGGGTGACTTAAAGACAGCAGTTTCAGGGGGGGGGGGGGGCGTGACTTAAAAACAGCAGTTTGAGGGGCGTGACTTAATGACAGCAGTTTGGGGGGGGGGCGTGACTTAAAGACAGCAGTTTGAGGGGGGGGGGGGCGTGACTTAAAGACAGCAGTTTGAGGGGCGTGACTTAATGACAGCAGTTTGAGGGGGGGGCGTGACTTAAAGACAGCACTTTGAGGGGGGGGGGGCGTGACTTAATGACAGCAGTTTGGGGGGGGGGGCGTGACTTAAAGACAGCAGTTTGAGGGGGGGTGACTTAAAGACAGCAGTTTGAGGGGGGCGTGACTTAAAGACAGCAGTTTGAGGGGCGTGACTTAAAGACAGCAGTTTGAGGGGCGTGACTTAAAGACAGCAGTTTGAGGGGGGGGGTGCGTGACTTAAAGACAGCACTTTGAGGGGGGCGTGACTTAAAGACAGCAGTTTGAGGGGGGGGTGACTTAAAGACAGCACTTTGAGGGGGGGTGACTTAAAGACAGCAGTTTGAGGGGGGGGGGGCGTGACTTAAAGACAGCACTGAGGGGGGCGTGACTTAAAGACAGCAGTTTGAGGGGGGGGGGTGACTTAAAGACAGCAGTTTGGGGTGGGGCGTGACTTAAAGACAGCACTTTGAGGGGGCGTGACTTAAAGACAGCAGTTTGAGGGGGGGGGGTGACTTAAAGACAGCACTTTGAGGGGGGCGTGACTTAAAGACAGCATTTTGAGGGGGGCGTGACTTAAAGACAGCACTTTGAGGGGGGCGTGACTTAAAGACAGCAGTTTGAGGGGGGGGGCGTGACTTAAAGACATCAGTTTGAAGGGGGGGGCGTGACTTAAAGACAGCAGTTTGAGGGGGGGGCGTGACTTAATGACAGCAGTTTGAGGGGGGGGGGGCGTGACTTAAAGACAGCACTTTGAGGGGGGCGTGACTTAAAGACAGCAGTTTGAGGGGGGGGGTGACTTAAAGACAGCACTTTGAGGGGGGGCGTGACTTAAAGACAGCAGTTTGAAGGGGGGGGCGTGACTTAAAGAGTTTGGGGGGGGGGGCGTGACTTAAAGAGTTTGGAGGGGGGTGAATACAGAATGCGCCAAATTATTCTGAAAGGTTCAAGCAATGCACTTTAGCCAAACTTTAGCTCCGACTTGTGTGGGTGACCCGTGCTGGTGACCCGTGCAGGTGACCCATGCTGGTGACCCATGCTGGTGACCCGTGCTGGTGACCCGTGCTGGTGACCCGTGCTGGTGACCCGTGCTGGTGACCCGTGCTGGTGACCCGTGCTGGTGACCCGTGCAGGTGACCCGTGCAGGTGACCCATGCTGGTGACCCGTTCTGGTGACCCGTGCAGGTGACCCGTGCAGGTGACCCATGCTGGTGACCCGTGCAGGTGACCCATGCTGGAACTGGGACAAGTGTGAACAACCTGTTTACCTGCACCTTTCACGTGACACGCTCTAATTCTCCTGAACCACTGCGACACGCCCGAGTGACACAGACGACACCCCGTCCTCACACAACACGGGTTTTCTCTGTCCGTCTGTTCGTCTGTTTGTCTGTCCGTCTGTCTGTCCGTCTGTCTGTCTGTTCGTTCGTCCGTCCGTTCGTCCGTCCGTCTGTCTGTTTGTCTGTCTGTCTGTCTGTCCGTCCGTCCGCCCATCCAGACAGCAACAATATCTTAAATAACAAATACTAAAAAAATAACCACATCGAAATCAAATCTATACATTATCACACATCTCTGAAAATTAGATCAACATTATTAGATGGATCAATAGGTACGCTACATTTTGAGCTGCACGAAGTTTGAAAAAAAATACCAGGTAGCTCATTAATAATTAAATTTTAATTGGATGATTCCCTGTCTCATGTATGAAAAAGGTTTTGTTTCTATTAAGTACTAATGAAGTAGGTCTGGCAATAGTACGTTTGCTTGTTTCTTCGTTTGTTTGTTCATCCGTTCGTTCGTTTGTTTGTTCGTCCGTTCGTCCGTTTGTTTGTTTGTTCGTCCGTTTGTTTGTTTGTTCATCCGTTCGTTTGTTTGTTTGTTTGTCCGTCCATTCGTCCGTTTGTTTGTTTGTTTTGAAATTAAATTAATTTCTAAAGTTGTATTCTAAAAATAGATTTTGTCATTAAGTTTACAAAACGTCTTACCCAATAAGTCAGCACGACGTGACGTCATCGACTTGATGACGTACAAATGGTACGTCCAAAACAATATGGCGGACACAGCAGCTCCAAAGATGACCTTCACCTTCGTAGGTACCCTTGTGGGGGCCATTGCGCTTTGAGCACAACCTTGAAATAGTAGGTCAGTGAGATGAGAGGTCACTGATATAGCGCAGGTCACTGATATAGCGCAGGTCACACATGGACCGTGGTTATATACACTGGCTACCTAACTGTGGCTACCTAGCTGTGGCTATCTAGCTCTGGCTATTTAGCTGTGGCTATTTTGCTTTGGCTGTGAAGCAGTGGCTACCTAGCTGTGTAAAGCTCCTTAAATTGTAAAATTGAAGCATCATTTTTCAGAGTAGTAGTAGAGTCAAGTCAACTTTGGTCTGTATGCTATGCTGTAGTCTAGTCAACTTTGGTCTGTAAGCTATGCTGTAGTCTAGTCAACTTTGGTCTGTATGCTATGCTGTAGTGTAGTCAACTTTGGTCTGTATGCTATGCTGTAGTATAGTCAACTTTGGTCTGTATGCTATGCTGTAGACTGTAATGGTGACCTAAGCTACCCTTGACCTCAAACCGCTGTTATTTTCCACTCTAGACCAAGTTTGGAGAAGTGAATCACAACAAGGTTGTTTGTTCCCAACACATCAACAGAACCACCAACGTTGTTTGTTCCCAACACATCAACAGAACCACCAACGTTGTTTGTTCCCAACACATCAACAGAACCACCAACGTTGTTTGTTCCCAACACATCAACAGAACCACCAACGTTGTTTGTTCCCAAAACATCAACAGAACCACCAACGTTGAGACCTATGCGGGCTCCCTGGATAAACAGAAAACACAATTGTAGATTAATAGACTAGTTGTCCAGAAATACTAGGCACAAACATTTTATAACTAATAGTGAAAACATTTTATAACTAATGGGGAAAATATTTTATAATTAATGGTGAAAATATGTTATAATTATTGGGGAAAATATTTTAGAATCAATGGCGGAAAATATTTTATAATTAATGGTGAAAATATTTTATAATTAGGCTAATGGGGAAAATATTTTATAATTAATGGGGAAAATATTTTATAAATAATGGTAACAAGTATTATATAATTATTAATCACAAATTATGTATGTTATTTAATTTTGTTTAATAAACACTAATATAAAATAAACAGAAATAAACATTAATATATTTTATAATTAAAATTATAATTCATTAATAAACTACGCGCAAATAATTTTTAAAAAGTAGTCAGTTAATGAGAAAATTTTACAAGGTAGCCGAGATGATTTGAGTCCAACAGAATCCCCTCCATGTAACACATACCCTTGGCTCGAGTCTGAGAGATAAGACAGTGTCACGTGACCTACCTGCAGTCGTGGCCCAGGCAGTCAAGCGTGACTGACACGGCGCGGGCAATGGACGCATGGGGTATGCTGTGGGTGTGTCCCACTAAAGGACATTTGGTGGCTGGGGGAGGGTGGGGTGGGTAACATCACGTGCTGGAGGGGCGGGTCGGGTAGGGGTGGCGGTTATTCAAACTTAAGCGGAGATTTTTGAAATAA